CATTCAAATTAATTTTCCACAGTTTAACTCCACTCGAAGTGTAGTAACATCTACAAGCGATATGAATGCTGCCGAGCTAAATTTCAAGTGTCTCAGAATAAAAATTAACAAACCTGTTTTGTGCTTTGTTATTATGGTGTATGGAGTGTAGACTGATATGGAAAAAAAAAAAAAGTAATTTAAAGCAGTTTAACATAAGGCTGCAACATAACAAAACGTGAAAAAAAAATGAAGGGGTATGAATGAATACTTTCACAAGGCACTATATATATATATATATATATATAATACAGTATATACTGTAAGTGGTTATACAGTATGTTTGGGATGGGGTTAAGGGATCAAACATATAGCTATAAAATGGCAAAAAAAAATTAACTAATACTTTCACAAGTCTCTATATATATATATATATATATATAATACAGTATATACTGTAAGTGGTTATACAGTATGTTTGGGATGGGGTTAAGGGATCAAACATATAGCTATAAAATGGCAAAAAAAAATTAACTATGCAAATATATTTACTAAAAATTTTATAATTTTGTATAGCTATATGTAATGTTTACATTTTACATCCATATTATACATTTCATTATCTAGCCAAACATACAAAAATGTATGTTTTTGTACCTGTAAACGTTACATACTAATACCAATGCATAAACAGTGAGACAGGGTTGGTTAAAAAGGCAGGAAATGGCCATGTTAAACTGACTTTAAAATATTATTAAAATTATAGAACATGTAGCCTAATATTATTTGTAAATATCCGTTTATTAATAGTGCAATGCTGTCTCATTTGAAACATGAGAGATGTAGGAACAAGAATGTAACACAGCTCTACTCGACGACAGGCATGTTTCCTCTGTTTGGACTTCTGATCCTACGTATCATATTGTTTGTATTGAATGTCAATTACAAATTCAGTCACATGTATTGGGTTTCAACTGCTGCCCGAGCTGCATATCTACAACACAGCATTGTTGGTCATGATAAACACGTCCTAACACTGTTGCTGTGTCCCAGAGAAATCAATTTAATGGTGACATCCAAAGTGGAAACACATTCTTTTATTCTCTAACTTCCTGGAAATCGCTCAGATCCTGACACAGTCCAGATACACCATACATCATTCTGCTCTTGGGACGCACAATATGACTCGAAGCACTGCGTGTGAAGTCCGCAGCGTTATCCTTGCAGTGCTTTTAGGTTGTTTGTTGGATGAAACACTTTCATTGCATTCTAAATATAAACAGGATAGTGCAAAAAGCATTTTTATGCATTATGATCAATATTCTTATTTACAATTCACTCAATCTTGCAAAAACAGATTTGTCATTCATTGCTGAGTTCTAGTCCCATTTTTTTTTCGAAAATTGCATTCTTTTGAATACTTAGTTCGCTCAGATCCTGACACAGTCCAGATACACCATACATCATTCTGCTCTTGGGACGCACAATATGACTCGAAGCACTGCGTGTGAAGTCCGCAGCGTTATCCTTGCAGTGCTTTTAGGTTGTTTGTTGGATGAAACACTTTCATTGCATTCTAAATATAAACAGGATAGTGCAAAAAGCATTTTTATGCATTATGATCAATATTCTTCTTTACAATTCACTCAATCTTGCAAAAACAGATTTGTCATTCATTGCTGAGTTCTAGTCCCATTTTTTTTCCGAAAATTGCATTCTTTTGAATACTTAGTGACCATTAAAAACGTATGTTCTATATAGTGACCTAATATCAACTCCTCTCCCATGGCCTCATGGGATAGAGTGTCCATTGGATGCACACTTTGTAATCTTGCCGGAAGTAGTAAGTCATCATTTCTTTCGCCTACTGTGAATTCAGACATCTTTTTACATACCGTTTTTCGCTATATAGTGGGGAAGTATGCATATTTGCATACAGCCTTAGTCCATAATCATTAAATCAGTCATGAGTTGAGTAATATCCAATAGTGTGGTCATTAGTGTTGATTCTAATAAATGAGGTTCATCGGAGTGTAAAGCTTCTGTAATTCTGACACATATACATCGGTGCACACAATATTGACAAGGTGGCCCGTTCAGTACCATTAAATGATTTAAGAGACTCAAATGTGCATGTGATCCCATTCTGCTGCTGAAAATCGTTCAGTGCACAGCTGTGATTGCCGATATTGTGGTGGAACAAACTGTAATAAATATTGTGTATTTGTGATTGTTTTTCATCTCCCATGGGCGTGATGTTTAGAGATGTGTGTACATACAATCTCACACAGCTACACAATGGATGGCTAAACTGCATGTTTGAGTGTGTCTAAACTAGCACATTTGTATTTGTGGCAAAGAAAATGGGAGTGTTTGTTTACTGTAGAAACAAACAGTAAAGGGTTGAACTCTCATGCAATGGGTAAACTTTACAAGTCATGTGTTTGTTTCATGGGTCGAATGGTGCAATGGAAGAAGTGGATCGTTCATATTCATTGCAGATGATTTTTTTTTTTCTTTAAGGTTTGTCTGTTTCCCTGGGCAGAGCATGAAGATCTGGTTGTTTTGGGGTAAAAAAATAAAAATGCATCAAGTGCTCCTCCATGCATCAAACACCAGATCCTACAAACTAAACAGTGTTGTTCCATCAACACTTCAGAATGGATGTTTTGATGAATAAAATCATTCATTCCAATTTGTAAACTGTTGAGAGAAACTCCCACCCACGGTGCATGGGAACTGCGTTTTGTGCGTGCATTTATATTAAATACGGAGTTCAATATCGTCACCATATTTTAAGCACTTTTTTTTTTTTATTCATCACATGAAAATGGCATCTGTTACTAGCACTTTTTCATGTCAAGATTATTGTGACTGTGGCAGCAGGGCTGGGAGGTATGATGATATATGTACCGTGTGATGTTAGAATTGTGTCAGCCGGTAGATATTTTGCTGCATCATTTATACTGCTGTAGATATATTTGTGCAGCTATCAGTGGGCAGCATTGCTTTACATTATTTACACATGATAGTGACAAAGAAACAATGAATAATACAAAAATAAAGAGCTGGATAGGTCCTAAACAGGTCAAGATGAAGGAGAACTTGTTATTAAAAAGTGTCAGGCAAAACAAAAAAATATTTTTTTTGCCGTGCTGCATTCATTTATAATTCAATGCACATGCAGTCGCATGTGTATCGGCTATTTTACAGTGGCTTCAAATGTGGCGTGAGAATTTAGAGTTAGATCTGTATAATTTAGAGTCTGTATAATATATATATATATATTAAATGCACATTATAGGTAATGCATATTTTTGGATTGTCAGTAAATTAAATGTTTTACAATAAAATTGACTTTTATTTGATTATTTTATCTTTTTATTTGGAACTCGATGAAGGCAAACCATTATCTATAATGTAATATAAGATTTTGGTCATTTTGCCAACTGCTATGTGGTTTGGATAGCTTTCAGTGTTGCCATGCCTGCTTTTTATAAGTGACTTTGGCCATTTTTTCTTACTTTTTCTTTCTTATGGACTTCTAGAGTAGTGTCATCTTTTTGGGATCTTGGCCCTTATAACACAATAAATTGTAAATCTTTCTGTCAAATTTCCACAACTGCTGTTTTGACCACACTCTATATTGTCTTTATACACTGTGCAGTTTGTTTCTCCTTTCCTCACGCTTCTAATTTTTCCAGCATCGTATTGAATTTTCACTTCTTTCACCAATATAGTCTTTAATGCACATTTTATGTATGTTTATGCTACAATACTTCAGAAAAAAAGAAATTAAGACTTCCATTAAGATTTTTTTTTTTTTTTTTGTATCCTCTGCAAAACAGACTGGGGCAGTGAGTGAGTGAGTGGGTCAAAGGTCCGAGAAAAAATATTGAAGAGAGGATTCCTACAAATACTCAGCTCTTGTATATAAATATTCTGACATTGACTCAATGTCTGACCTTGGCCACTGACCTTGATATGTTAATATATTTGACATGTTATTTACATTGGAGATGCAAACTCCCATGTAAAACTGAAAATAAAAATAATATTTTAAGAAAAAAAAATCTATTGAGTAAAAAATGCTGGAAAATACTTAGTGATATTTCTGATATTAAGGTTTATTTTATTTTATTTTTTTTAATCATAAATGTGCTATGTGCTTATTGTGGTCTTCTTTCAGACCAGGATGTGTATTTTCTTGCAAGATCTGGCAACAATGAATTGATTGATTTCAATGAGAAGCTACTTGTCTTCACGTGAGGTAAATCGATGCTGTAGTTCTGTAAAGAGAAGGATTTCCGTAACGGTAAACTCCCACACCGCTGTCTAATGCCCTGTCCGGTTTACCCAGAGGAACTCATGAGAGGGTGACCAGCAGAGGGAAGTGTTTTACTACTTCCACCTCCTCAATCACCCCATATTCTGTCACACTGACTGTCCAACCTGACATAGATTTATGAAATGGGAAGAGTTACGACTGTTAATAAATGATAACGTGTGATTAAATATTAATTGACACGGAGAGTGAAGCAAAGCGCTGACTTCAAACCTCAGTGTTATGACCGCAAAGTCTCTTAAAGTTGACAAGTCTTGAGTGTTACTGTTTGACTAAATGGAAGGTAGAATAAAATAGGCAGTCGGGGGATAAAACAAGTTGTTCTTATGAACATTTTACCTCACAAATGATAATTTCATGATGATATCTTCAGGTTTATCATGCAGAAGATCTCTTTACGCATATATTTTTCAGCATGTCTGCGAATTTAATCCTCCCCTCAGAGTTAACTTTGCGCAATGGCGACTAAATCAGTGTTGCCAGATCTCAATCGGGAAAACACATAGTTTGAGCTGACAAAACTAAGGGTGTACTCACAGTAGGCACGTTAGCTTTGAACCGAGCCCGAGCGCGATTATGCCCCCTCCCCCGCTGCCGCAACAATGGACTAACTCCTCCTACTCGCGCTTCAAGATAGTGTAAGCCCCGCCCTTTTCTGACGTCACCCTGATTCGGATCTCTGCTCGCGCTTGTATCAGCTACACTAGAACAGTTCAGGTTGTGGCAGCAGTGCCCGAAGTGCGCCAAGCCACGGAATCGTTGCCATATTCTGGAGAATCAGTCCTTTTTCTTGGGGAAAAAAATTACTTGGAACGGATTTCACGTCCGTTGATACATCTTCAGGACCCAACAAAAAATAATCTGATAATCCCCAGACTCCCAAATTGAGGGAACAGACCGGGACCGTTGGGACTTCTAGGACATATTCTGGTTACTACTGCGCAAAAAAAGTACAGAGAATCGTATTATACATACTTGTATTGTGGAGCAAACGGATCGGATGCATTAAACGCCCCGTTATTAAGCCTTTGTTTTGAGGGGATTGAACAGCCGCACTGGATTCAACGCTTGGGATGCGGGATCCCTGAACTTATCTGCTTCTTATCCGCCTCGTCGAACGGACTTTTCATCTGCAGAATCAGTCGATGAGCATCTTATATTCGGGCTTTGGATTTGATCTAGATTCCTGGCTGTTCTAAACTCTTCTGCAGACGTTGCACTGAATGCAGTTTTATTAACAGTTGACTTTCTGTCGTATAGTGAAGGGTGGACAGAAGTGGATTGTGTTGAAGTTGCATGAATCACCGGATCGCTCTTTGCAGATCGCGATATCAGACCGGATATTTGGCGTAAGGCGCGAAGCGCGATGGCGATGTTGGCGACTTTTTGGATAGTCCTGCTGGTCGCGTTAAACGCCCCAGGTAAGTCCATGAGCTCCATTGAAGGATGTTTCGTTAGTCAGATACACGCTTTTGTTATCTGTCAGGTCAGGCGTCTCAAAAAGACCCAACAGATCTATGCATGGTTCATAACTGTGTAAAGTTAAACTAAACCATCTGATGATACAGTGTTGCCATAATTAAGATAAATTAACTCAAAGTGAACGCGTGAACGCATAAAATGCAGGCAGATGGCGATAGTGATGCTGCGCTAGAATATGTGTGCTGCTTGTTAGTTGTGAATTATTGGAGAGCTCAGGTAAGAGCCTATAAGGGAACAGAAAGATGAGTAAATTAGTTTTCAAGAAATAAAGGATATTCCTGTGTACACGTAAAAGTGATTATTTATTTATTTGCTTTTTTTGACGGTATCATTCGACGCCAGATGTCAAATGAGTGGCTTGGATGGAAACGGATCAAGTATCCCGAAGCGATGAATCATTCGCGTTACACATTGGTAATGAAATAGCTGCTGCTTCTGTCATTACATAAACATTTTGTGTCAGGTGTTTACTGTTTGAGAAAATAAATAAATAAATACATAATATATATATCATTGGTCAGCACTGACGTTTGTTTATCTATTAATTTATTTAAAACATTAAGATACTTCCAGGAATGCAGTTCATACAAAAATGACTTGAATGCACCTCTTGGTGTGTGTAAACTATAAAAAATAAACTGGAATAATGTTTTATCATTATTTCTTATATTGTTAACAAATCAGCTATTACTAGGGGAAACATAATTTGCATTATCTATATCACCTTTATTTGTCGTCATTGGTCTATAAAGTGAACACACTGAAAAAAGCAACCAATTGAACTCTTTACAATTCAAGTAAAAAATTGAATATATGTTTTTTTTTGCCAAGTTGCAAACAAAGATTTTATTTTAACATTTATGTTAGCTGCATTCCCTTCCCCCCAACCCCCCCCCCCCCCAACTTTCTCTTGGCTGCCAGATTAAAGCACTTGCTTTGTCTGTGATTGATATATGGGTGTGACTCCTCTGTGGAGATCAGAGAAGCTGCCCTCCCTCATTCATCCCCTCTACCTGAGCCTTCCTTCCTGTGAAACAAATGCAACACATGGGGTGACACAATAACCTGATTTAAACAGACAGTTCCCCTTTAAAAAGCATCCTGTTCCTTTATCAGCAAGAGTATTCAATTCATATGCATTCCCCAGAGTCTCTGACAGTACTACTATTAGCCCAGCATTAGGTGTCTTTTAATAAACTGCTCTTGAGAGTATATTTTCCAATCAATACTGCACTGCTGACCTCTAATGTTGTAAACAAACCGTCTGATGTATTGGCTGGTCTTAGAGCGCATCTCTGGCCTGCCCCCAGTGGCTCTGTAGAGGAAGTTAAACCAGTCAAAACAGCTGTTTGGGGTCAGCTGAGAGAAAGGCTTATGTGATAACACTTGAACCTCCTTTCATCGGGTGATTATTCCTCGTGCCATCTCACTTTTCCACTCTTAAGTGATGGAGGATTGATTAAAACATTTAAAAGCTAACATTTAAATTATGTTTTGCTTCTCAATGTACTGCTGCTCTTTGTAGTGTTAGAATGCTTTGCTAAAAGTTTTGCAAGGCTCACTGAATTCCCAGCTCTTACCATAAGGAGATGATTTTATCTCTGGCATATATGGCACCTTGTACAGTTGCAAATATCTTAGCTTGAACATGTTGCCTTTGGCGTGACTCCAGAAACAGAACAGCCTTGTATGAACCACACGGTGCCCAAATGTTTGTGCGTCTCTAAGGCTGCTTTCAGATTCAGTTCCTGTAGACTTTTTTCATGTGATCTTAACTTGCATGGCAAGATGATACAGGATCTAGATCTGGAATTTTGCCCAAGCAAAATTGTTGATGGTAGCACACAGTATTAAAAGAGTCAGCATATTTGAGCATTTGTTCCTGTGGGTAAGGGATGACTTCAGAAATAATTCTCTGGTTTGTGTTTCCCACCGTTAGCAATGACGGCTAACTTAACAGAGCAAAATATTTCACCTTCTTGACATTAATGACATGGACAAAACTATTAATTTCTTCCCAGGCTATAATTTAAGACTTCAAAGTCGTACAGAATAAAATCCCAGGGCAAAAAAATAGCAGCATACAAAAAGTCACAAAGATCCGTTCAGACAAGATCCTTGAGCAAACAAACCCAAGCATGCCCTGTTGACAAGACACCATGCAAATCTAAATTATATACACAACCCGGGAACACTGAGCACATCCCTTTTTGTTCACCTCTGCGCAGTGTTTACTAGACACTTGCCATGCAATTAACAGCTGGAATAGGGGTCTTAGAAGACATCTGGTTATTGTTTCTCCTTCTGAAGCAAAGCAATCACTCTGCATAAATCAACTCTACGTGCACATGTACATGTCAGAGCTGGCAGGGCTGCCCTCCGTCTACGTTCACAAACACGTGCAGCTACACGTACAGCTGAATGCTGTTTCGAAGTCGAGTAAAATAATGAAGCGTAATGAATTGTATTTCGACGTCCAAGGCTCTTCCATTGAAAAGCATGGACAGAAGTGTTGTAATATATAATGTTATCTACTCAGAGATTTACACCCCCTTTTTTGCCAAGTTGGAACCCGCCAGACTAATCTATTAATAGGGCAATTTGCATCCTGTTGATTGTAATGCGGCCCGAGGAATCCATCGGGTGCATTGATAATGCCCGAAATGGCTCAGCACTAGGCCAGATCAATCAATAGCTTGACACTTAATAAACTCGCAAGTCTTTTTTCAAAGCACTGTTCACCCAAAAATTGAGATTCTGTCATGATTTACTGACCCTCGTGCCTTTCTGAACATGTGCAATATCTTACTTTCTTTTGGGAAACATAATGGTCAGTGGTCATGAAAACTGGTTGCCAACATTTTCAAAATATGTTCTTTTGTGTTCCACATGCAAGTCTTGCAGGTTTGGAATGACATGAGGGTGGGTAAATTATTTTGGGTGAACTATCCCTTTTACTTTGTTTATAGGGCTCTTCTACTTTAACATGATGGTTTTCTTCCAGGAATACAGAACAATGCTGCTATAAAGCATGTATGGTGAATTTCACCAACACATGCTGGGCTGTGATACAGCATGCCTGTGCTGTAATTAGAGGTCGACCGATATGGGTTTTTCACTGGCCGATGCCGATATTAAAAAATCAGGGCAGCCGATGGCCGATATATGATGCCGATATGATTTTTTTGGCCGATATGATTGGCCGATTCTTTTTTTTTCCCATTCATCTCATAAAAGTGAGTTTGAGCAAATGATTATTGCAGGGTACAAGATAGTAATAGTAGTAGTAGCCCAATTTAGAGTAATAATACATGGCTCAAAACGTAAGCACTTTCTCAAAACAGTTCTGAAGCATGCTTTTTGTTTATGTTTGCTGACAGACAGCAGTTTTTCACACAGACTTGCAAATGCAAATTCAATCTCCGTCAGCAGGAGGTGCTGTTGTAGCGGGAGATATAGCGGTTTCCCCCTGGTAACGGCTGTAATCAGATTAGTGCTGCGCTCACAAACGCTATTTTATCAGGCATTACAGGAAAGACGAAATGAAAATGACACCGAAGTTTTCTGAAGACAGTCAGTTCTTTTCAAAGATACATTCAAATAAAAACACCCGCGCTGCATTTAAATTTTGCAATGTGAAGCGCTCATTTTATTAAACAAAGTATAAGCCTTTTGGGAAATCTATTTGTGGCGGTGACGAGCCACCACAAATATCTCAATGTATAGGAAACACTGGACACTGCTATAAGTCAAATAACCAAGTGATAACAAAAATAAAAGTTCACACATATTACACAGCCTGCTGCTCATAACTGCTTAAGAGTGCGCTGGCCACGAGCGATGACATCGTGGAGGCTATTGTCGGACCCACAGACACATTTCATGAGGAAAGTTAACGTGCACGTTATAATCAGCCCAGAAGTTTCGTCTGAATTGAACTTGTTTCTAATTTCACATGCAAATGACTTGTTGCACTTATGAATATGATAACTTTCCGGCATCAATTCTAGTAGGGTAAAACGTAATTCCACTTTCGAAACGGTCTATTTTGCCTTGCCATTAACTGAAGCTGTGTGTGAACAAGCTGCGGCTGCAGAGTGTGAGCTGCTCTGTCTCTCGCAGCCTGAGGGAGTTCCGCAACAACGCTTAGCTGCCCGCAGATGCGCCTGCCTATAAATCAGCCTAATTTGCAGCACAATCGGCCGATGCCGATTCATTAAAAAATGCCAAAAATCGGCCGATCAATCAGTCGACCTCTAGCTGTAATTCCCCTTGTTCATATAAAAACACATCTAAATCTTCTTTGTGGCTAAAATTCATTCAACAACGCAAAAAGATGGAAGAGAAGAGTAATGGAACGGACTGTGCCGTTTGATAGTGATTACATGACTTACAACTCTCCCTTTAGAGTAAAACAGATGCTACATGGATAATTTCGTCTAACCTCCAGTGTTTGGCGAACCATCATTGATTCGTAAATCATCATTTCCTCCAGTGATACCTTTTTAGCAATACTGTTTCTATTTACAGAATGGAAAACTTAGCTGTGTGTGAACAAGCTGCGGCTGCAGAGTGTGAGCTGCTCTGTCTCTCGCAGCCTGAGGGAGTTCCGCAACAACGCTTAGCTGCCCGCAGATGCGCCTGCCTATAAATCAGCCTAATGTGCAGCACAATCGGACGATGCCGATTCATTAAAAAATGCCAAAAATCGGCCGATCAATCAGTCGACCTCTAGCTGTAATTCCCCTTGTTCATATAAAAACACATCTAAATCTTCTTTGTGGCTAAAATTCATTCAACAAAATTCATTTTAGCAATACTGTTTCTATTTACAGAATGGAAAACTTTTTAATGCTTCAGAAATAAGCATTCATCATGGTTTGGCCCGGTTTAAGGAGTACTTTACGGAGGAGCTCTGATCTATACCTTAATTATTTGA